CTTATGTCCATTAGTTATGCTTATATGCATGCATACAAGTCCCTCGGTTGATCTCTTACCCCCCTCCCTCCTGCCCCCCAACCTCCCTGGCCTTCCCACTGCAGTTTGACAATCTGTTTGAGGCAGCTCTGCCTCTGTATCTATTATTGTTCAAAAGTTTGTAATGGTCTTTATTATCCATGAATGAGTGAGATCATGTGGTATTTTTTCCTTCTGCAATGAAGTTCTCTTGCAGCCACATCTTAGGCAAATTACCAGAGCTCCTTCTTGGTCTCCTGCAGACGTCTTGCCTTGAGTATAACACAGCTCAGCTTCAACATTTAAATCAGAAGACAAAACTTTTGATCTTGCACATCTAATTTTTCTAGACAGCAGCAAATTATGCTTTTAGTTCCTAGTATTGCTTAGATATTTATAAGTGAAATGGTAGCCTTTATGTTTTGGGGGTTTTTGTTGTTTGTTTGTTTGTGTTTGTTTGTTTGTTTGTTGCTCCTTAAATTAATTCAGTCTTAGAAATGAGACTGTGTTCTTCTCCATCCACTGGCTGGATCAGTAGCACAAGCCTCATTGTTGTTTTGTTTTCCTATAGAAATCTCATGCGGTCCACCAAGTCATGTACCAAATGCAATTGCTCGAGGCGTACATTATCAGTATGGGGACATGATCACCTACTCGTGTTACAGTGGATACATGTTGGAAGGTTCCCTAAGGAGTGTTTGCCTAGAGAGTGGAAACTGGACATCACCTCCTATTTGCAGGGGTAAGGAAACATTTGGGTGGTTATTTCTTAGGGAAATATATGGAAGTCTGATGTGGGCCACAACCAGGCCAGGGCACTAAGTGACCTTTGGAAGCCAGTTCGTGAAGATTCGTTTAAGTTAGAGTTATGCCAAATCTAACGCATTCCAAAAGTAGAGAGCATGCTGCTTTATTTTTCTTCGTCTTTAAATTTTAACATTTGTGTCATTTTGTTTTTTTACTTTATTGATTTGAATTTTGAAAGCTTGCACACAGAACTCTAGCCCAGCACAGTGTCCCTTCCTGAGTTAATCATGGATCCTCAGGCACGTCTTCTCTCCAAATCTCGGGAGTATTCTCAGCTGCTAAGGGAAGCAGTGTCATGTCTGGGTCCTGGGTGCACCTCTTGGCCCCTCAAGTGTTTCAGCACAGATTCTGGTTCTACCCACCTATCCTAGGAAGGCCCCAAATCCCAGAGGAGATGGGACAGCCCACCTAATGAGCAGAGTATAAAACAAGAGGTACCAGCGAGCCTCAGGGAAACAGAGCTCTCACCCCATCTGGCCATACTCGGGTGGGTGACCAGCACTCCGTGTTCACATGGGCACTTCTGTCTCTTTACTTGCTGTATGGAATTTTCAAACCCAAGGACGAATTTTGTGTGTGCTTTCAATAAAATCTTGGGGGAATAAAAGATTCTATGCTTGTAATTCTGCAAAATAAAAAGAGGTAGATAACAAGGCATTCAAGCATGTCCTTCTAAAACGTATACTTTTCTAATAATTTTATTTACAAATCATAATTGTTCCATTCATTCTAGAAACATTTACTGAAAGTCAGGAACTATGCTAGTGAACAAGATACACATATCCAAGGAACTAAAAAAATAATCAAGTTGTTGGAGAGGTTGTCCACATGGCCCCATGGACAATGATCAGATTTGGATTTGGTGTGAAAGCCAAAGTCTTTCATAACTTGTGGGGGCAGGGAGAATTGAAGTAGTCCATGATGAATGGCATGAGCCTCAAAAATGTCTAGGGTTATTACAGGAGAAAGAAAATTAATTTTCTGAAAGCAACGGTGAGATATGACATCATCAGCACATGGGATGTAAGAGAAAGTGCAACCTTCTTTTAAGAGGGCTGCTGTGGAGGTGGCATCTTCAGGGAATAGTCCAGATTTTACTTAACATGAGAAGTCAAAATAAGGGTTGTGTGTTTGTTTGCTCTTGTTTCTTCTTTTGTCTTAAGATACTATGAGGTGGTGGCAGCACCAAAGAGCTCCTGGCCACCAAAGGCCACCTTTGCAAGGGCATTTGCACATCTTCTAAAGGGGCATTCCTTTACATAAGCCACCTTGTCCCCCTTACCCTGAATCCCCAAATTACTAAAACCTTGATAGCCATGTTGTGGCCCTTCTGAGCCCCTCAGGTTCATCCCCAACCAAATCTTGAGATTCCGTTTTGTTTCTCTTCCTTAAAGCTTAAGTCAAGGATATAGTATGCAATATACATGAGTAATTCTATTTTCTGACAACCACCCTTCCATAATTCCCTCGATTTATGACCATCTGCTTCTTTGACAGCCGTCTGTCGATTCCCATGTCAGAATGGAGGTATCTGCCAACGCCCAAATGCTTGCTCCTGTCCAGACGGCTGGATGGGGCGCCTCTGTGAAGAACGTGAGTCTTTCTTCAAACCTTACTTGGAGTCCTGATAGTTTGCCTGGAAGCTGCCAACTCAAAGTTACTAGGAACTGGCTCTGCTGGCGGCAGGGATTTATTTGCTTATCCTACAGCAGGCCAGACAGGGCAACTAGAGCTGATCGGAATATGTCAATCACTTTCAGGAGATCTAGAATATTAGACCATGAAAATATAGTTATCAACATCCATCATCTCCACATTCTCCTGGCACAAATTTCTAAGGATCATCTGGAAAGGAGCTAATCATCAGGGGTTTCCCAGACTTTGTCTTCCTTCATCTCTAGTCTTTTTATATATTCTGCCACTCGTAGCTACAGCTGTAAATTCATGGCATTGCCTAACATTGTACTTTGCAGCTCACCATTCACTCTTTTTCACTAAGGGCAGTTCTTCCCAATTAAGGAAATAAGGAAAGTTGGCATTCCCATATCTACACAATGGTTGCTAAATTAATATAGAATTTTTATTCTCATAGTAATACATTTCAATTTGAACTTCCAGGAGGCTGTGAATAAGTGGTTTTAAGCATTTTTAATGTCTAAGCAACATTTTGTTTTACTATCTTAAAAAAATACATGTGAGGGAAAAAATGATTTCATTTTTCATTGGGAGTGGTATATGTAAATAACATTAAAAGTCATTAATGAGGTGGTCATTGGTCTACATCAGGTTTTTCTAAGGTCAGACATTTTATGAGATTCTAAGACTTTTTAAAGTGTAACTATCTCAACTAATCTAGAAAGGAAAATAGAAGATGGAAATAAATTTAGGCCATTAACAACTCACCATAGCAAGTATTCTCACAGTGATGAAGAAAGGAGAGAAATTACATTTTTCCTTCCTCTTCTCCCCAGTCATTCCTTCCCACTTAAGGCTTTCATACTTGACCTGCTGTAATGGCAGGAGTCCAAAGACTCAGGGAGCATTTGCCCTGGGTGCCCTAACAACAGACCTTGCTTATCTCACTGAGCATGCACCTGCCCTCGTGGCTTAGAGCAGGACTTCCCAAGCTTTACTGTGCACACAGATCACCTGGGAGATGTTGTTAAATGCAGATTCTGATTCAGTAGATGAGTTGGGACCTGAGATTCTGCATTTCCAGCCAATTCCTAGGTAATGCCAATACTTTTGGTTTGAGAACCACGCTTGGAATAGCAAACTAATAGACAATCTCACTCCTTTTAAACAGACTACACCTCTTTGAAGAGCTCAATAGGAGGAATGTTTACTGTGGAGGGTGTAGGAGAGGCCTGATTCAATCACCATCAGGCCTCGGCTCGAAGGAAATAAAGAGCAAGTTTTCCCATCACTGCCAATGTGTTGCCAACAGCCTGTAGGATAGCCTGTCTGACTCCCATTTTCACATTTAATTCAAGACAAGAAGAGTGCCTCGAGGCAGCCAAACCCTCTTAGAGCATTTTATGTAATTTGTAATGGAAATTTGAAACTGCAATAAATGGGGAACATTCTGCTGATTCTGTGAAGGGAAAGCAAAGCACTTAGCAGATATTGATTACAGTGGGTCTTCTCCAAAGGAGCGCATTTGGCATCAGTCATGACTGCAGGCTAAGGGGCCAGGGTTACTTTCCTAATTGTGTTTCCCCAGTGATACTGATTAATAAACAACACATACGGGAAGTTCTCTCGTGGGTCATACAAGGTTTTACTCCTCCTGGATCATGTTTTTTGAACACGTGAACATATCTTAGTGTGTGTATTTTCATCAAATCGTTTTTGATCTCCTCTCTAGCAATATGCATTCTTCCCTGTCTGAATGGCGGTCGCTGTGTGGCCCCTTATCAGTGTGACTGCCCACCTGGCTGGACGGGGTCCCGCTGTCATACAGGTAGGCGTCCTATCATGGTTTGTTGTCTTGGTGACTTAGCTCTTTGAAGTCCTAGAGGACATTGATGAGTAGGACTCAGATTCCGAGGTGGAAGTGAAAGAAAGGGTATCAGGGTTTCTCAAGAATTCCTCAAATGGCCCCTCGAATGGTGAATCCGAATGCCTCAAAGTTACCTTTCAGAGTCATGTGCCAGAGAAGAGCAGCTAAGTTGACTGAGTTGTCAGGCATCTTAGTGTCAGAGGTTCCGAAAAATATTTATTTTGAGTGCCAAGTTCAAAATGCTGGAGCATGTCTAGTGAGCAGCAGAAGCCACTGAAGGGTTTTAAGTGGGAAAATCACAATCAGATTTTCTTTTAGAAAAATGATTTTGGCAGCAGTATGGATAATGGCAGAAAGCATGACTTACAAGGAGACCAGTTAGGAAGTTATCAAAGCAGAATTGGCAAGCGGTAATAAAGTCTGGAGAAATGACAACCCAAATAGATTTGAGAGAAGTTTGGGAGGTGAATCTACACTACTCAGTTATAGGTTTCATTGTGGGAGTAAAGGTCTGAACAGAGTCAACACTGATATTTCCAGTTTGGGTCCCTGATGGTGCCATTTACTGAGACAGAGACCCCAAGAGGAGCAGGTTTGAGGTTTAGATAAGGAGTTAAGTATTGACTCACTTTGAGGGGCCTGTGGAACATACAAGGGAGAGGTCTGATAGGCAGGTGGCTGATTGCTCCCAGAAGATACATCTATACTGAAGATAGAAATTTATGGGTTATCATTGGAAAAAATTCATGGGGAAAAAGAATAAGACTATGCAGAAGACACATGGCATGAGAAGGTGGCTCAGAAGGGACCAATGGGAGCTCCCATGTTAAAGGGAAGGAGGAAGATGTTAAGCTTTTAGACAAGGAAGAGAAAGTAAGTGCTTAGTACAGTCAGGCACCATTAAATCATCATGCTCCTGAAAAGGAGTAATATTTTTTATATTGGTACGCAGAATCTATGGAGAGTTGGTTTTAAATTATTGGGCTTCATTTTTACTATTTTTAAGCCTGCTTTGTTTCATACTTTCCTTTTACTATATTGCACATATGTGCATTCTGTTGGCCTACTCTTACTCTTCACTCACCAAGACGGCTCCCCAAGGACATAGACTAATGTTTTATTTCTTGTCCTCTCTCTTCCACCCAAGTGCCTGGCACTGGCTGGCATTCTACATGCCCTCACCCCCATATTGTATGCATGAATGATTAAAGAAGTACATCTATTTATATCTCACCAAAGATGAACTGTTCATCTGGGGAAGCTTACCTTTCCAAGCTATAATGAGACTGAAATTGAAACTGAAATGTTTCTCATTTCTCTCAACAGGCATTTCATTTCCTCCCTGTAGGATGTTCTCCTTTTTCTTTGATACGTTAAACTTGCTGGTGTTGGGTCTTTATCAGTTTTTAGCATCCTAGGGTTCTTTAACAAATAGACTCATGCAAGTGAAGAGTTTGGTGATGAGACTATGAATTTGTAAGGAAGATGTCTTTATAGTAAATCTTTGAGTGTTCATTCAGGGTTTCATCTGTGGCTAATTTTTAACTCTACTCCAGGTTCCATCATTCTAATTAAGGCCAGTAAAAGTCATGAAATAGGTTTCCTAGCCAACACAAGGGCTTTTGAGTCATCTGTTATTTTAGACAAGCTCTTGCCTGATTTATTGTCATGAGTTGATGTCTGATGTAATGACTGAATCATAGAGTTCAGTGCTAGCTCCCTCAAGGGATTTACAGTCTAATTGAGCATATGAAAAGTTCACAGTTCAAAACAGTATGTGCCAAATTAGTTACATAAATAAAAATATTAAAGAAGAGAAAAAACAGTGGACTTGAAGTTATCAGCAAAGATTTCAATACATAGGTAGAACTTAACCTGGAACTTAAATATGAAAATGACTAGCTTGGAAGGAAAAAGGGAGGTGGAGCCACAGAAGGACATGAGGTCAAGCAAAGGGGCAGAAATGCATAATGCAAACAGTCTATGAGGAGTGTTGGTGGCTGGAGACGAAAACAGAGTCAAATCTTACTTACATGCTTTCATGGACATCTTCAGGATTGCTAAGTGCTGATTAAATAAATGCATGCATTTTTTATCCCAGCTGTTTGCCAGTCTCCCTGCTTAAATGGTGGAAAATGCGTAAGACCAAACCGATGCCATTGTCTCTCAGCTTGGACTGGACATGACTGTTCCAGGTAAGACAACCAAAGACTAATGCTTATCAATAACATAAAGAGATCGAAATTCAGGTTAAGTTGTTCAAGAACCAGAAGGTATCTCTAGTGTGAGGGTGAGCATTTTATATCCAAAAATGTCCACTGTGAGATACACTCTCTAAATTTGAACTAAAGCCAACGCAAAGAAATATTAGTTAAGGATTGACAAATCAAACAATGATGCCTCAAAAGTAAATAATCTTGTACTCATTTTGGCCGCACATATACCAAAATTGGAATAATACAGGGCAGATTAGCTTGACCCCTACACAAGGATGACTCAAATTCGTGAAGCATTGCATAGTTTTCCATAAAAAAAAGGGTTAAACAAGTCAACTGCCTTCTTGAATAGAAGATTGTATTTTTTTACACTCAGGGGTGTAAAGTAAATAATAAACTCAATACATTTATTGACCTTCATTTGCATTCCTGGTTACAACAAAAATAAATGTAATTGGCTACAAAAATGTTATGTAAATATATGTTCTGTCAATTGGTTTCTAATATCAAATTAGATAAATATAATTGAGAAAAGATCATCATAAAAATAAGTCAAAGGGGAAATAGTTTAAAAAATAATTTAAGGTTTCTAAAAAAATTGTTGATTGGCATACATACAACATTAAATTATTTCAAGTGTACAACATAATGATTTGATATCTGTATATATATTGTGAAATGATCCCCACAATAAATCTAGTTAACATCTATCACCATGCATAGTTACAAGATGTTTTTTTTTGTTTGATGAGAACTGTTAAGATAAAAAGATTTATTGTCTTAACTTTCAAATATGCAGCACAATATTATTAACTATAGTCACCATGCTGTACATTACATCCCCATGACTTATTTATTTTACAACAGGATGTTTGTTCCTTTTGATTTCTTATTCCATTCACCAACCTTCCACTCCTTCATTCCACCTCTTGCAGCCACTAATCTGTTTTCTGTATATGAGTTTGGTTTTGATTTTTTGGTTTGTTTTAGATTCCACACTTAAGTGAGGTGATACAGTATTTGTTTTTCTCTGACTTATTTCAGATAGTATAATGCCCTCAAGATCCATCATTGTTGTTGAAAATGGCAATATTTTCTTCTCTTTCATGGCTGAATAATATTCCAGAAGTGGAATTACTAGATTTTATGGTAGTTCTATTTTTATTTTTTTGAGGACTCTCTCTACTGTTTTTCATAGTAGCTACACCAATTTATATTCCCACCAACAATGCACAAGGTTCCCTTTTCTCCACTTGTTATTTTTTGTCTTTTTTATAATAGCCATTCTAACATGTGTGAGGTGATACCTTATTGTGGTTTTAATTTGCATTTCTCTAATGATTAGTAATTTGAGCATCTTTTCATGTGTATTGGCCATCTGTATGTCCTCTTTGGGAAAAATGTCTATTCAGATCCTCTGCCCCTTTTTTAATTGGATTGTTCGATTTTTGGTTGTTGAGTTGTATGAGTTCTTTATATATTTTGGAAATTAACTCTTTATCAGATACATGATTTGCAAACATTTTCTCCCACTCAGTAGGTGGCCTTTTCTTTTTTTTTTTATAGTTTCCTTTGCTGTGCATAAACTTTTTAGTTTGATGTAGTACCACTTGTTGATTTGTCTTGGGTTGCCTTTGCTTTTGGTATCAAATCCAAAAAAATCATTGCCAAGATCAATGTCAAGGAGCTTACTGCCCATATTTTCTTTAATTCATTTTGAGTTAATTTTTTGTATGGTATAACATAGTTTCATTCCTTTACACATGCCATCCAGTTTTCCCAATAGCATTTATTGAAGAGACTATCCTTTCCCCATCGTAGATTCTGGCTCCCTTGTCATAAGTTAATTGACTATGTGTGCCTGGGTTTATTTCTGGGTTCTCTCTTCTGTGCATTGATCTATGTATCTGCTTCTATGGCAATGCTATACTGTTTTGATTACTATAGCTTTGTAATATCATTTGAAATCAGAAACATAATGCTTCCAGCGTTGTTCTTCTTTCTTGACTGTTTTAAACCTCAAGAAATATCAACTAAATTGTCATCATACCATGGATAAATATTTTCAATATAAAAATGTTGCAGTGTTGGAGTAGTACCAGCTCTATTTTATGACTTTCAAAATGCACTATTGCATTACATCATTTAGATTTGTATAATGTACAGTTACTTCAGTCTTATAGGAGTCATTGAAAACAAAGAGCATATTCATTTTTAAAAATGGGAAATTTAGTTAATTGAAAACAACTCTTCTTTTTCATTTCCTTTTATTTTATTTTGATTGGAATGTCAAAGTCAACTTTCAAGGACAATAATCTATTTAAATAAAAACTTAATTAACAAAAAAAAAATCCATCTTGTGCCAATGAATGTCCTCATATCATCTCAAGCATATGCCATCTCTGCAGAGAGAAAAAATAAACTGAACCCTAAAGAGCAAGCTTGGATTGTACAAGTCTATATAGAAGCTTCCAAGATAAAGATGATACTTTCATCTGAGAATAGAGTTGAATGATACAAAAAAATGAGAGTCAAACTGAAATCGATTTCTGGGGAAAGTAAGAGGAGAGAGAAAGTAAAAGGAATAAGAATTACAGTGACTCAAAAAGGAACAGGAACTATTTATAACATTCTTATAATTTTAGACTTTCTATTTCAATTCCTTCAAATAAGAAAAGGAAGCCTGCGTTTATGTGGTTTCCTAACATCAAAATACTCCCAAAGGAGTCTTTTTTGACAAGGGGAAGGGCGGTTTTTAGCCTATGTGAAAATACTGTCTAATAAAGAGAACAAAATTACATTTTTGTGCAAACGTTTGATAAAGGAATCAAAAAATATATGGCAAATTAAGCTGGGAAGTGTATCCCACATTCAAGGACTGGGCAGTCTCCCCGCCTCCCCCTCCGTCCCTCTCCCATTATACTGTGAGCCATTTTTCTAGAAGATCCATATTACTTAGGACTCTCTAATTGCAACTCTAACTAGCTTAAGCAAAGAAAGGAATTTGTTGTCACAATTGAGGGGCCTTGCGTGGAACCCGATTACATGGATGGCTGAACCTCAGGAGGATCCGACTGAGGACTTGAAAGCCACCTGAAGCTTCTCCACCTCCTGCCTCGCCTTCTCTCTCCAGCATCTACTCCCTCCCTCCTCTTGCTGCAGAGTGGTTTTCTCTGCTGTTCAGTTCCCATGAAAGGACAGAACTGCTTGCAGCCCCTGCATTTACACATCATACTACTGTATCCACTGAAACAGTGTGCTGACCCAGTTTAAAAATCCAGAACTGCCTAGTCCAGGTAGATTCAGGGGCCAACCATGAATCAGTCAACTGTGGTCCTAGGTCGGGCTATGTCGTACTAACATGAAGAGTCTTCTTGTCAAAACTTTTACCGTACCTTTGGGTAAAGGGGAGAGGAGGCTGGCAGTTCCCAGAGGAAAGAAGGTGGAATGTAAGTCCCTGAAATGGGAAGGGGAGGAAGCTTTTCTGAGAAATTAGAACAATAAATGTTTACAAATCATTTTTTATTTTCTTCTCTCCCATGAGATTGAGTAGGCAAAAGATTGTATCCCTCGTGCTTAGCACAGGCAGAAAAATTAATGCTCAACAAATGTTTGTTGACAGATGGAGCGATTTCTGGGCATCTGTGACAGCCAGCGAAGAAATGCCCTGTAGCATTAATTAAATACCTCAACCAGTTACCTTCTCTACCAATGGATAAGACTCACCTGGTATGGTTCCCAGGTAGTTCAGTCCTTAAAAAGGAGATTGTGTTTGCCCAATCTCTGTGTGCTTCTTCATAAAATTGATCCTAAACAAATACCACAAATAAAAATTATAGACTGTGAAAGCTATAAGAGACCTTTCACGAAGTCCAAACCCCTCAGTTTACAGATGAGAGGGTTATCAGACAGGAAACTAGAGACAAAGCCAAGGCTAAAACCCGGGTCTGCTGATTCTCGGATTTTTTCATGAGTTAGCACATGATCTTCATGCCCTTTAGTTGTCTCAAGGAATGACTCCCATCCGTACAAACAACGCCATGGATAATGCCCAGGTATCTGAGACTTTCAATCCTGTTCAATGAAGGGCATAATTTCCCTCATCCTTGGTATGTTTATTAAACAATAAGCTGGTGGGATTTAGGCAATTGCAGTGACTGGAGGGAGGATCCACACATGAGAGATTATTAAAAAACACACACACACAAAAAAACTGAGGGTCCTAGAGGTAG